AACAGAAAATAGCAACGCACTTGATAAAGTCTTCCCTTTCAGCAGTCGTCGTCCAAATACGTTGCGTCTGAAGACGCAGAACTTTGACAGTCAGCCCCAGTGTCGCAGGAATTTGGTCCTGCCAAGTCCACGACTCATTCTTCTTGCTCGCAGCTCCACGACCCGCCCCTCTCCCCGCTCCAGCTTTCCCTCCCCTCCCTCTCCTGCCCTTGGTAGCAGCTGCTGGCGGTGGCGCATCATCCTCAGTGGCTTTGACCTTCTCAGCCGCCGTAACGAACCATTGCAGCAAAAACGCGTACAACTCCAACGGCGTCTTATGCGCCATGTACGACTGCTGATCTCCCAACTCCACATCACGGATGGTAGCCTCTAATTCAGCCAGGAGGCCAGAGGAAATGGAGTCGAGAAGCTTGCTCATAACGGAGCCAGAGACCGCGTCTGCGAATTTAAGCAGACACCTATAGATGTCAAAGACCTGTTCGTCCGTAATTGCGCTGCTGGAGTCGGCAACAGCCTCCACGGCAGCTACCAAATCGTCAGATTTTTGAGTGGGATTGGAAATGAGATAGTCACCTTCAAGAAGCCGCTCCGGATCCTCTGTTGTGAGATCATAATCGTGTGGTATGTCGTAGCTATCGAGCTCCTGAAGAGCCTCGACCTCTATTCGTAAATCGAAGCTGCTGATCATCGTGGTCGACGTTGACTTCAAAGTTGAACGCGTCGCGTCAGTCACGTGTACATATTCATTATGCGGGTTTATTCACAACGCCTGATCGTCTTTTGTCGTCGAGGATGATCGTTTCAAACGTTCAGCGTTGCAAGCCAAGAATCGCCGTAGGTTGCACACCATGAGCCTCGTCTAATGAGTTGCAAAACGTTGAATTTTGCGACACGGTGATTTGGATGATTAACAAAGCAATATTCGACCGCCCTACTTGGGCAAGTCCTGAAAATACATCTATAATAAATGTGGAATGATACAATGTCGAGTAGATAATGTCCAATCCGAGATCAAAGGTAAAATGGTATACCGTACACCACGGGAGCTGCGCCAGTCAAGTACTTCAGCTTGCATGAATCCCGCGACTGTGCCACAGAAGCCACCAGAGACAGAGAAGGAGATGTGTGGGGTTCCTTTCCGGGTTCATTCCACTTGCTAACATCGGCAGGCGTCAAACGCAACTTGTCGAAGACGGATTGGGAGAACTTGTCGATGTCCTTGTCAGTGACGTCCCACAAGTTCGCGACAAGCGTAGGGCTAATAGAAGATGGCATTAATGGTAATTGAAGTAAAAGACGGTTCAGATACGTACCATCCAGCGAGCATGTAGTTATAAGGTGTTCCCGTCCTATCAAAATCACCCAACTCCCGGAGAGCACCCGACGAACAACCCCAAAGCATAGTTGCAGCGCATTTCGGAAGGCTGCGAATCCTATGAGATCGGATATACTGTTCCCCACCTCCATGGCCAAAGTAACTACCATGGAACCATTCATATCAGTAACATTTGAACGAACAAGAAAGAATACTTACACAACCAAGTCCTGCGTCTTCAGCGCATTCACAAACTGCTGCTCACTAACAGCCTGGCCAATCACACCATCCCACCCAGCTTTCTTCATCCCATGAGCCCAATCCCGGAATCGACCTTCAGTTCGAGCTAGATCGCCACTGGGATTCAAGATGAAGTATCCTTTTCGAGGATCAATGACCGCTCCAGTGATTGGATCGTCCTCCACAGAATCGCCCTGTCTTTCCACTGGCGAACGCAAGCC